TCTACATATTTGTGTTTTGGAGACATGACAACAGAAAAAACCAAATTTGGATGAGGAATTTAGTGCTGGGCCATTTTCACACAGTTAATCATACAATAGAATCACAGAATAGAATGGTTTTCGTTGGAAGGGACCCTAAAGATCATGTCGTTCCTGTCCCCTTGCCATGGGCAGGGACACTTTCCACTAGACCAGGCTTAAAGCCTGGCCTTGAACACTTCCAGGGATGAGGCCTCCACAGCTTCTCTGGGCAACCTGTGATGACATCTCAACACCCTCACAGTAAAGAATTTCTTCCCAATATCTAATCTAAACCTGCCCTCTTTCAGTTTTAAGATGTTCTTCTTTGTCCTATTACTACATGCCCTTGTGAAAAGTCCCTCACCGGCTCTCCTGTAGCCCCCCTTTAGCTACTGGAAGGCTGCTCTAAATCATCAAAGCTGCCTTCAGAGCCATCCCTGCCCAGCTCCCCATAAGAACACCCAGGTTCATGCCAACAGGTTGTGTCAACTCAGGCTCCACAGCTGTGGTGTGCACACAGCTGAGCTTGCCTTCACATGGCCCCAAGCCTTGTTCCATGAGGTGTTACTGAGCAGCATGGTGTGTTCTGGCCTGCATAGCCCACATTTATCCACTGCTGGAATTCTGCTGAAGTCCCTTAAAATGAGTCACTCCCAGAAGAGTAGGCATAAATTCTGCATGTTTCAATGCTCTGAGTTCATAACATTCACAGACTGTTCTTTACCTTTGGTATAGTCACAGTCATATAATAAATTTCGGAACATACAGACAAATCCAGACATACACAATATATATTTAATCAGGAAAAAGCGTAGATATTAACCATCTGCTCCAGTGGCAGCATATTCCTAAGCTGATATTTAATACATTTAACCATATTGTAAATGCTCACCTGAATCCTGTATATATTTCTAAATGCCCTATAGAATAAATATTTGCATACTTAAATTTCCCACGAAACCCATGAAAATTTTGCTTTAGTTTCAGAGACAGAGTGATAGGACCTCAAACCTCCAGCCAATAACAAGCAAATTGCATTATGCAGAGGAAAAACAGGGAGGTCATGAGAAGTAGTCCTCTTCCTGAGGAATATTTGGTCTAAAGAAAGGTGGCAGATAAAAGGTAGTAAAAAGGAAGTATTGTGAGATGAGAAAGTGAAGGACAGATGAGTTATCTGATTTGCCAAAAAAGGGACAGGATATGTCTGTGTAATATTTTGTAGACATAAATGGCTATATGACTTCAAATCTGGAACTGCCTCATGATCTCACAGCTTGAAAAATAATGGGATAAGCCCTTATTTACTTACTAAAATTTCTTGGACGAGAAAGATAAAGGAATAAACATAACAAAATTCAGGGATCTGTGCACATTCTCTAGCCACTCATTTTTCAGAGAATTCCACAATGTTTGCTCGTTTATGTTTCCAAGTACTGTCCCACTTTCCTCATTAGGTAAGATGTGATTCAACCTGCATTCTTCCATTGCCTTGTACATCTTAATTTCAGGTGGCAGAACTCTTTATTTCTGCAGTAATTATCATGATACAGTGTTAATATTTATTGGCTCTGAGGTACTGCAGTGCATATTATTTTCTATAATCATTTGGACAGAAACACCAGCCTCAACATAGATTCATGAATAGGTTGATATATTCTTAGTAATGTTTCTCTGAAAATGAACTACGTCCTGAGAAAATTGCTCATGCCTACCATAGAAAAGGTACTTAAGCCTTTCAAAATTGCAGTAAGAATCGACTGGAGACCTATGAAATGCAGGTTTGTACCTGTCCTACAGACATTGTCACCTCTGTACCTCCAACTTTTGCTGTCTGTAGCAATTTGGGAGCAATGCTGAGTCTAGTTGCAAACTATGGGCCAAGAAACATTCACAGCTCAGAGGAGTTTTACTCTAAACTGGCTGTAGCATTATCCCAAGCTTTGAACACCCAGCTGTGGTGCATTAGATGCTTTCCTAGGGCACTTTATCTGTGCTTTCCTGGGGCACTTCATCTGGTCTAGTGTCTTTCAAAAGAAAGTTGATATATTGCTGTGAAACGGTGACACCCAATCTAGCTCAAAGCACAGTGAGTGAGAATGAGTTGGAAACTGGTTTTTGAAAACCCATACCTGAACTGAACTAAAATAATAATGTAAACATGTCCTGCTTCTCCCTACATGCCAACATTAAATGGCATCACACTGGATTTTCCAGCTCACAGGAAAGTAAGACTTTTTTCTGTCCTTCCTCACTGTTTTTTCTCATATGGAAATGGAGAAAAACAGATCTTTTACAGATACATCGTTTGGTTTGTGTTTTGGTTTTTTTACTCTAATAGAAAAGACTTCTACTATAGATATTGTAAGAAGACATATAGGTTACAGTCTGTTGATATTTATTCTCTGCCCAGTTACTCTGTAGGAACTCCTCAAATTCTGTTAGATTATTTCATTATTCTTGCTTAAGAATTGAATCTGTAAACTCAATTCCATTGAACACTACTGAAGCCATCAACATTAAATTCATCCACCTCTCCATGTCGTGAACGACTCTGTGTCAGGAAAGGTTCTTGGCTGAAGACAGAACTCACGGATGAGGTAAAAGAATAAGAATTTTTGTTAGAGTTCCAGCAAGAACAATATGCACCAACTCTCAAGTGAGCAATGTGTTTAAGGTTAAGTCATACAGGTTGCAGAGATAGATTTAAAATATTTTCCCTTTTATTTTCACTGAGTGAGAGAACTACCTTTTAGTTTGTGTATTCAGTTTTCCCTTAAAACCACTTCTAGGATCACTCAGGTAAATAAGGGTTACTTAAGTGCTTTAAGTCTAACGTGTCAAAGTACTTTGTGAAATCGGTTGAAAGTCAGTTTCAGCCTTGACTTTGGTGTTTTTTCTGGTTTTTTTGTTTTGTTTTGGTTTTTTATTAATACTGGTATTTTTTAAGGCCATATTAAGGTATACTAAAGAGAAAAAAATTATTTTGTGTCAATTTTTGAGATGTTCCCTTACCTACAGAGTCTTATGGTACTGTAAACTGACCTTGGTAGGTTGGATTTGCCCCTATATAGCCAAGTGTGACAATTAATATCTCAAGTGAATGTTTTTGCCAGCAGCAGAAGGTATATTAAAATTCTCACAAAGGCTAATTGCTTCACAACTCCATTGACAATTTCCATCAGTTTCTAGGAAGAGCTAAGCATTACAAATCATCAGGTGAAATGAGGTTCAATGTTTAAAGAAAATCAGAATAATAATTCCGTAAAAATGAAGCACAAAGCCCAGGGGAGAGTGTTTCTCTAAGTATTAAGTTATTAGATTTTTAGGCAATCATATGCAATAAAGCGGTCGAAATATTGTTTTATGATAAATACTATTGCTGATGCAAATCTGATTAATTCTAATGGCAACTATAACTAACTGCATGATGTGTGAGCTCTTAATTTTGAGTATGAATAATTGGTTAAACTGAGTTTTGTGTATTGCAGTGTAATACACTTGTAAAATTTTCCACTTAATTTCAATTAATATGGGTTTTACATGTGCTCCACTGTTGCAATTTTTATGCCTATTATTTTTAATTAGGAAACAGCAATACCTTGGTAGAACAAAATGAATGAGCAGCACTGTGTGTTTCTTCCAACTTTTTTTTCCTTTATGGAAACTTCAAGCTCATATCGCTTAGCCTTCCAAAATGTTAATCACTGCTCATGAGGCTGACTGGAACTGGTAGTGCCAGCTTCTGCATGAAATAGAAGGGAAAAAGGGATCTCTCAGTCCTCTCATTCACTTACTAACATCTACACACTGTTTTTCAGTTCAGATTATGTATTTTACTACCCTTCCTGATGTGTTCCAATATATTTTAGTGTTTAGAACTGTGTGGTGATGTTCTTATTCACCACTGAAAAGGGGAGCTTGTATGTTTATGCACCTATTTTATGATGAGATCAATCACTAGCTGGATATTCTAACTCTTCTCTGCAAAAGGCATCTAGACACTCTGTGTTATTAATAATAGTGGATTATAAAAAAAAAAGGCCTTCAGGATGCCGCTGAATGAATTTTTACTGCACTTTTCACAGCAGCATAAATAGAGAATAGAAATGCAAACGGGTTTTAATAGCCAAACAAAGTAAGATTCACTGATTCTGGCTAAACAGACTGAATACCTAACCTCTTCACAGACCTGTATTGTACCATTATCCTCACTTCATAAAGACAGAAGGGTAAGAGATGTAGAAGTAGGAGAATTATTGAGGTATGAACTTTTGGTACAGTAAAAGAATGGTACCTAGGTGAGTCTGTTTGCACAGGCTTGGTTCCATGTTGTTGAAACAGAAGTGTTTTCATAGAATCATGGGATGGTTTGGGTTGGAAGGGACCTTAAAGATCATCTACTTCCAATCCCTGTGCCACAGGTAGGGACAGCTTCAACTAGACCAGGTTGCTCAGACCCCATCCAACCTGACCTTGAGCACTTCCAGGGATGGGGCAGCCAAAACTTCTCTGCTTTGGTTCACTGTTCACTGTTTTTCTACCAGTTGTAGACCTTTTCTTAAGGTCCATAGACCTCATGTTAGCATTTACACCTAAACTAATATTTCTGAGGTTTCTGAGAGATTTCTGTAGGTGGGGAGAAGTTTCTGGATCCCCAAAAGACTATATCATAATGTCCATGATTCATACTTTAAAAAGACACATGAAAGAGCAGCAGTAAAAAACAACATAGGTGTGGTGAGGTGATGCAGAGGAAAAGGCATTCTTTGGATAATAAAATATTTAGGGAGAACCTCTTACATTTCTTTGTTTTTATTTTAACATAGTCAGTGTGTGTACCAGTAAAAGCATCTGCTATGAGCTGTTGAAGACACTTTAAAGTACTTTTTCCTCTATTAATAATCAACCCATCAACAGATGTCTGAAGAGCTGACTGTATTCCAGCTCCATACACTAACCCCCTACTTGTTCCCTGGCAGGCGAGATGACTCTGAGGACACAGCACGTTCAGGACTCCAAGATGGGCTTTGTAATCAATGCAATATACTCAATGGCATATGGGCTCCACAACATGCAGTTGTCGCTGTGCCCAGGCTACGTGGGCCTCTGTGATGCCATGAAGCCCATAGATGGTCGGAAGCTTCTGGAATCCCTCATGAAGACTAACTTTACTGGGGTCTCTGGGGACATGATCTTGTTTGATGAGAATGGTGACTCTCCAGGAAGGTAATGTTGGCATTTGTCAAACTGTTTAATACCAGAGATGTTAAATGTGTGTAACGGATGCATGCAGGCTTGACATGCATGCATGCAGAGCTAAGATTTCACTTCTAGTTTCACATTTCTTGACTTTCTGTGCTTATTTTTCAAAAATAGCTCTTTTTTTTTTTTAATGTGCAATTTTATTGTGTTAAAGATATAGATTTTCAGTCATAAAAGCTTCCTGTATGAATTTGCATTTTCATCTGTAGCATTTAAAGGTTCTATTACTCAAAACAAACCGTCAGATTTTATGTTTGTAGACCATGATGGCCACCACAGCATATTTCTCTCTCTATTTGAGTGTTTAAATGTATGTGTTTGGTTGAGCAATAAACAATCATAGCAGATAGACTTCTTTTATTAAGAAAGAAAAAACAATATTATAAATATTGTATTGTTTTTTCTGGGATTTTTTAAAATCAGAATTATTAAAAATCTGCTTCCATATCTTTCAAATAAAGCCCTATACGGCTTCCCTCCAGGCTCTTCACCACCTTCGTTGCCCTTCTTTGGTCACTCTCTAATAGCTTAATACCTTTCTTGTATTGTGGCACCCAAAACTGCACACAGTATTCAGGGTGAGGCCACACCAGTGCAGAGCAGAGTGGGACAATCCCCTCCCTCGGCCGGCTGATGCCCTCAGGACATGGTTGGCCCTCCTGGCTGCCAGGGCACTGCTGATTCATATTCAACTTGCAGTTGATCAGGACTCTCAAGTCCCTTTCCATGGCACTGCTTTCCAGCATCTCATTTCCCAGTCTGTACATACACCCAGGGTTGCCACATCACAGGTGCAGAATCTAGCACTTTCCCTTTTCTGTCTACATTATCAGGAAGTTTTAAAACATCTTTGTGATGGCACCATATAAACAGATGACTAGAGGGAAAGTTATCTATCCTGTACACTCACTTAAATTTTGCCTTGTCTCACTAATGTGAATGGAAAGCATTAACTTCCTAGTAGAGATGGGTAGGAAAAGGCAAATTCATTGATCAGAATATTTTGATATTTCCAAAAATTTCTGCTATTTCAGAACTGATTTTTTTTTCTCATCTTATTTGAAAACCTGCAAAGTCAACATTCTCCCTAAAAGCCATCAGGATAGCCATGCAAAAAGAGTCTGTGTCTGTCTCTGGAGACACAAATGTTCAGACTCTTCAGACTCAGAATTTAAGGAAGTGCACTGTGAGCTGGTAGGAGAACTCAGATACAAACTTGCAGAAACCTACGAAAATTTCAGATGGAGATTTATTTTCAGATCTGTTTTAGCATGGATGTCTTCTGCTAAACATTTCTATTTTTACAAATAGCTGAATTTTGAAGAAATGTGTTAAGTCTGATTTTTTCTGGCCGAATTCTTTTTAAAAGGCTTGTCCCAGACTTCTCTGAAAGGTTTCCTCTTTGGTTTTACCAGTGTTCAGATGCAGTGAACTGCATCCTACCCTATTGCTGTCTGTTTCACTTGTTTCTTGCAGAAAAACTGAAGAATGCCATGAATAAGTGATGTGTGACCTGTCACAAACAAATTATATGTAACCTGACAACATCAATGACAATATCTAAATATTGCAAAGAGGTCTTTGTTTTACCTTTTCCTCATATTGGCATTCTTAACAATAATGATTTAACACCTTTTTTTTTTCAAGGAATTTAATTGAATATCTAGGATATTTTTAAATTCATTTCTAAGAAAGATGATGAAGGAATTATATCATGTACAGTCATTTGCTCAGTCCCAGGACATAACCGTTTCACTGAAGAGCATGGGGACACCATGTTGATGGGGACACCATGCGCACCTCAGGATAGCCCAACTTTAAGAAAGACCAGTTTCCCTGGATATGTGTGATATTTGTGTCTACTCAAAACAATGAACTTTGTATCTTTGGAATCACAGTTCTTTTTCCCTCCTCTCTAGCAACAGTCACACAGTCACATTATTAAATCCAGTCTATGTGCTTAAATCAGACAACATTCAGTCAAAATTTACTCTTTCACGATTAAGAAGATTTTATAGGAAGCTCCATTTCTAACATCCAGGTTTTGAGTAGTGTATAGTCCTTTAAGCACTGTCAAACAATATTTGCAAGAGGAGGGAGATGGTGCAGTCATACTGGAACAACTCATCTGCCCTGTTCACTTGCAGTGATAACTGCATCTTCAATTTGTAAAACTGGAATTTAAATTCTCACAGCTGTACTGTGGTGGTGGTGTTAAGCAGGAAATCAGAACATAAAAAGCCTTTCTGACCTAGATAGTTCAGGATTTTGATGTATAACAAAAGAGGTTTGATATTATACAACGGATGATTAATCCCACAAGTTGCTTTGAATCCTGGCCCTATTCCAAATTCCTTTATGTATATGTTGAGTTTTAAGCAGAGAGACAGTCTAGTTTAGAGCTTGTTTTATGTGAGACAGAAGACATGCAGAAAAACGAGTATGGAAGGAACAGCCATGATTTCTCAGGAAGATAACAACTATCTGTAAATACTATAGAAACTCTAAAGAGAAACTGAGAAGGCAAGAAAAGGCAAGAAAAACAAGTTGCTAATGTTTTAACTATGTTACCAATAGAATATGGATACTCAGCAACTTCATGGCACTCCTGTTTTGAAACAAGTATTTTTGCACTGCGATTAGGGCACTGTTGGAAATGTGCTATTGCACCATCTGGTCTCTCCTATCCTAAAGTGACAAACTGTCCCTGTGTTATCTCAAGGAAGCTCCAGGGAACCAGTGACTCATGAACCTCCACTATAGCAATGGACTTACTGAATCTGGCTATTTCTATTTGTCCGCCAATGCTGTTCTCCATAGAGAAGAGAGACAAAAGTTATTCAGACAATAGTATATTTAATTTTTTAGATACCTTTACAGTATTCTCCTTGGGATGTATGGAACCACTATTGGAGGGGTCATTGATTTAGGTTCTGTGGCCTGTTAAGCACTGACGGTACTTTTGTTCATCTCTCCATGAAAATCTGAATTGACGCTTTAACAAAGCTTTACTCATAGGAGGGTTGCAATGTCCTGACAACGCTGAATAATGACTCCACAGTGACTTCTGGGCTAACTTTCTGGTTAGTCTGTTTAATCCTTGGACAGACTGTTATTATGCCTGTGAACCTTAGAAAAAACTTAGTTTACAACCATGCGCAAAAGCCTGTTTATTTGGATTTGTGCTTATGTTATCTGGATTCAATTAATTTTTGTCAGTCTGGCATTCACATCTCCAACTTTGAGGAGGTCATTATCAAAGTTGTGGACATTTCCTTTTTTATATAGGATGGAAAGTAAAATATTTCAAAATCCATAAGTATCATAAATTTTTTATTCTGCCTGTGTCATTGTTTATTTTTTCTTCTTTTGGAAAGGCTCAAGAACCATATAATATGGATAATATCACATTGTCCATTCAGTCAGGCTCCAATTTCACTTTCTTTCAGAGGTTGCTTGCAGTCCTGATCCTGACCTGTGTGTGATTTTGGCACTGAATCTCTGCCATACAATAGTTTCCCCACTGTAACAGTTAGACTGTTTCTTGATCCAAAGCGTCCTGAGATCCATCTGTGGATAATATTATAGAATAGTTTTACTGTAAATATTTTATGTTATGTTTTTTATGTGGGAAAAATATTGACATTAGATAGAGTATGGCTACTGCTTGTCAGTGTTCAAAGTGTTTCCTCAAAGCTTAAAAGACGTACTTGGGTATCTGTCATGGTTTAACACCAGGCAGCAAGCAAGTACCATGCAGCTGCTTGCTCAGTCCTCCGCCAGTGGGATCAGGGAGAGTGTTGAAAGAGCTAAAGCTAGAAATCATGTGGGTTGAGATAAAGATGGTTTAATAAGAAAAGCAAAAGCAAAAGCACATAAGCAAAGCAAAACAAGAAAGTCTTTCATTTCTTCCCATGGGCAGGCATGTGTTCAGCCATCTCCAGGACTGCAGGGCTCCATCACGTGTAATGGTGACTTAGGAAGACAAATGTCATAACTCCAAACATCCCCTCCTTCCTCCTTCTTCCCCCTACTGTATATACTGAGCATGATGTCACATGGTATAGAACATTCCTTAGGTCACTTGGGGTCAGCTGTCCCAGCTGTGTCTCCTCTCAACTTCCCATGCACTCCCACCCCCTTGCCAATGTGAAAAGGTCTTGGCTTTGTGTAAGGATTGCTCAGCAATAACAAAAACATCTTTATAGTAGAAACTGTTTTCAGCATAAATCCAAAACACAGCTCCATACCAGCTACTGTGAAGAATATTAACTCTACCCCAACCAAAACGAGCACAGTATCTTACTTAAAAGATTGTTTGATTCAATAAGCTGATTCTTTTACTTATCTATATATTGGACATCAGAAATTACATGCTGACAATATCACTCATAATCCAACCCTGACTGTATGCTTTGCCTTTGGGATGAATTTGATGCCTGCTGACAGGAAAAAGATGTCTCCTTGTTTATGAACCAAGTAGCTTTTCTAAACCCATGGTTGTGTTAATTTTCTTGGTCTATATCCTTTGCTTGTCTTCCGTCAGTGAATTTCACAGTGCTTAGACAGCTTAATGTAAAATTCACTAAAGAGTAGCTAAAGAAAAGCATGACATCATTGCTTCAGGAGTTGCTCAGTTTTCCAAGCATGCCTTACAAGAAAGTGCTAAAAGAACAGGCCTGTAAGGCAGAAAGGTGGGCTGGTGTTCAGTAGTAGGAGGCTAGTGAGTCCTATGCTGCTCCACAGACTTTCTGCAAGACTGTGGGAGCTGAAAAGGAAGTAGGAGGAAGAGGAACATGAAACTGAAAACTCTGATCAGCTCTATCTTTGACCCAAAAGCAGCCTAGGACTGAGTCATGAATGTACTTTCTCTTCCACACTATACTGTACAAGGAATTAAATATGTTCTGATCACTGGGGAATTATATAAAAGTGATTGTATGGATGGGAGAGACCAGCATTTGCTGCTGCAACAGTGAAGAAGTGAAAAAAAAAAAAAAAGAAAAGGACAGATTTTGTGCCTGAAGAGTGGTGCCTGATTCCTCTCTGGGTGTCTTTGGCACAGGAAGTTTCCTGTGCTCCCACAGACCTGAGTTGCTTCTACCTCACTTTGGGAGTTTATCTATCTTCAGACTTCTTCTCTCGGGAGAGGAATAAGCAGCTGCAGACAGTGAGGATCACGTAGCATCAGGAATTGCCATTACTGGTTTAGATTACTCAGCATCTGTTATACGGGGAACTGGGGTTCCTTATGCAATTGGCTTCAGTGCTGAAAGTTGCACAGAATGAATTCTGTTTGACTCATTTTCATGGTTTCTCTGAAACAAATAGTCAGTCTCAGGAGCACAGTCACTTAACCCCGGACTGTTCTGGGAAATTTTTATGGTGATAGAAAAAAAAATAAAACAAAACAAACAAAAAACCACCACCAACAACAACACCCAAACAAAGACAAACAAAAACCAAACAAATAAAAGACTCCCAAACCCCTAAGTTAAAATACAAAGGAAAAGAAAGATTATGATATCGGAGAAATTATTGTGAGATACTCAAGAGCAAGCATAATGCTTTAAATTTTTTCTTCTTTGTTTTAACAAGTTTGATTTTTGACTGTATCATGTTCCTTTAATTTGAAACATTTCAAGATGTTCTCCTCACCTTAGCTATGTCTCTCCTTTATGTTTCCAAAGATATGAAATAATGAATTTTAAACAAATGGGGAAGGATTACTTTGATTATATCAATGTTGGCAGCTGGGACAATGGTGAGCTGAAAATGGATGATGATGAAATATGGGCAGAGAAAAGTAATATCATCAGATCTGTGTGCAGTGAACCCTGTGAAAAAGGCCAGATAAAGGTAAATATTTTCTTCATTTGCTTCGGTCTTGTAGCATGAACAGCCTTGAAATTTGAAAGCAAGCTTTTCTTGACTTCTGCATAGAGACAGTGTCCCACACCTTAATTAAAGTATACAGACTTACGTATTTAGTTCTTACTCCTATCAAATTGTCTCACTATTTTCATAATTTGCCATTTTCTTCTACTCCCATTTCTGGGAACTGCTGACTTTTTTGGTTTTTACTGGCATTCCAAATGCTTGCAAACAGATATTGTTTGGGGGCTTTTTGCTGCATATTTTTACAGCATCTGAATCAGTGGAGTGAAAATCCCTGACTGGGACTTGTCAGTACACCTGCAGGTAAATTATAAATAATAGTTGCTACTATTTCAGTGCTAGACATAGTCACCTAAACTGGAACATTATTATTCAGACCTTAAATCTGTGGTATCATTAGAGAATAACAAGATATACCACTCCTTCCAACCTCAGGAAATGTAGGTAACAAATTTTTTTAATCATACCAATTTTACTGCTTCCTTGTTTCCCAGGTTTTGGATTTTTCCTTCCGCCCTTTCCATGCTGAAGTAAGGAGCGTAGATGTATCTGTCACATATTAATTGCACACTATTATCCTTCAGCATCCCATGACACTTACTGCAGAATAGTTAAAATACTGCAAGTCCTTAGCTTACCTTGTAGCTCTTTATATAAAAGTCTGTGGAATGAGCGGATGGGCATGGACAGCCATAAAAAAAGCAGCTGTAATTTCTGACAAGTCTGGATCACTTTTCTCAAATGTTCGAATGGCATGACTGAAAATTGGGAAGTAGCTCCAGAGAGGTACTGGTGAGAGGCTGAACATGCTCTTCAATGCGAAGTAAATCTCTTCAGCCTGAGTTTTACAAAGTTTCAGGACAAAGTCACCATGTTTTATTCACTATCTGGTCTTTGGCAGAGTCAGTAAATGAGTTTCATCAGACCAATTGTATTTGTCTTCAGTGTAAGCGTACGGAGTTATATTAAATTTCTGAATTTCTTTTATAATCAATGGAAATAATATGTTATTTCAGGTGAGGAGTCACCTCATTCTCGTGTAGGCTTTCAAAACTGTTAAGACCAAGCTTGGTGTAGAAATACTTTCCTTTCTGGGTGTCTTTTACTATCAATGAAGAGAACAGTTGATCCAGATGAGAACATACCTTCTGCAGACACATAAAGGCAGGTGGGATGAATTAGTCCCACAGTAACTAAACAGGGGTCTGTTGTTAGCCTGCTCCAGCCACAAAGTCACATATGTGGAGGATAGAGATGGACAAACAGCTAATATCTTCAGAAGTGAGTGGCTCCAAGTTCCTTTACAATCTGTTGGCACAACACAGGTGACAGGAAGTATCTTGTGTTCTTCATTAACACAGTCTCCTTCCACCTTCTGCCCATGCTCTCATGGATTCTCCGGAGAGGATTGTCCGCTATGAGGCCAAGTCATCGCACACTGAGATACCTTGAAGTCCAGTGTTCAAAATGCTCTGTTTGCTCCTCATTAGGTTATTGATTATAAATCTCAAAGTTTACCTCAGTCTTTATCTTCGTGGTCTTCACAGATGATGGTGAGAGCTTGATCCTACCAAGCTCTGTGGTAGTTTTCCTGCAAACTTCTGTGTGACTGAGTTATTATGAAGGAATTTCAAACATTCAGTGTAATGATATCCAACACTCAGAGACATTTAGTACATCCATATGAAGGACTTGATAAAATCCAAACGCAACCCAACTATATATTTGAAATAATGCAGACATATGATTATTTAAGTAAGTACAGGTTCAAAGGATTGATCAGATGACAAGGGGAAAGGAAAATAATTTATGTTTTGAAGAGAATTATTTGTGTTAAAAAGGACAGAAAATATTTGTTTGCAGGTAAGAATTACAACAAAGAATTGTTCAAGAAGTGGGGGAAAAAAGTATGAATTAAATGGTGACTAAGCAATTTAACATAAGAAAAAAACAAATTCTATCTGATTCCGAGTACTGGAGAATGATTATCTTTATTCCTAGAGAAGGATACATAATCCTTCCCTGGTAGTGCTGGGTAAGAAATTATCAGAGTACCCGTGTCCTGATAGATTTGTCAAATTCCAAGTATTCAGGTTTGAATACATTTTATAAATTCATCATTGCAAAAGATACAAAAGTCAACCTACTTCTTATGCTATAATTGGGAGTATTTGTTTATAAATTGTTCAGGAGGAGTAGAGAAACTGGAAATACTTTATTTCAAAAGGAAGACATATTGACAAGAAGCACAGATGTTTTCAGTGCCCAGAAATGATAAATAAGGAACTTGAAAAGTTTGCATTTCAATCATAAGCATGCAATAACATTTGACAGAAAATTATGAAATGAAAAATCAGGTCATATGTTAAGAATGGATAAAGATAACATTCTCACTCTTAAATGGTAATTAGAAATCAGCAATTAAATAATTCTGGAAAAAGCATGTTCAGTTTGATGTCTGGAAAAAATCAGTTTTAATAAATCACTTATAATTTGATGAAGAATAAGCACCCAAAATTCTTTGGGTAATGAACCCTTAGGGACATAATGCTGTTGGTATGATTCCCTGTATGGACTAGAGTGGAATAAATTACCTGCCTTGAGTATCATGTACTGGCTTCTGTAAGTACATTGCCATCTACAAAATTTTGAGTTTTGCAAATTCTATGAGGAATAAAACCATCTTATTGTCCTTCCGTACCTCCACTTATACTTCTCTGGGTTTGGCAGTTTCTTTCTTCTGGTACTTATACAAGGGGAGCAGGCAGAAATTTTGCCAAATTTTACATATGAAAATATATGAAAAGGAACTCATTTTAAAAGAAAATCTAAAAATCCCTTCTATCAAAAAAAAGGTTAAAAAGTTAAATTATCAACTAGGGCAGTATGAATGTATGTTTATGCTGATAAATCAAGTGTCAATTTTTGTCTCAGGTGATCCGTAAAGGAGAAGTGAGTTGCTGTTGGACCTGCACTCCTTGTAAAGAGAACGAATATGTATCTGATGAATACACATGCAAAGCCTGCCAGCTTGGCTCCTGGCCCAATGAGGACCTCACAGGTAAATGAGTTGTGGCTGTGCTTATGTTGTCAATGAAAGTGCTCATCTGCTGAGCTGAAGAAACAAATGACAGATACAAGCGAATATGAGGACTGGTTTGGTCAGATCAAACCCAGGGATAAAGCTGAAATTTGGACTGAAGCTGATCTTTATCTCCTCGCCTCAACCTAACCCAGGATTTGTTCACATAATTCAGCTGCTTTCTAAAGACCTGAATAACTTGATCTAGAAATAACAATAAAAAAATAGTCCTGGTTTTATATTCAGCCCTGTCCTAACCTCTAGCTGGTAATGAAGATCTTAATCTTCACCAAACAGGTACAGAAATTAAGTCCTTGTCGGAGAAATAATTAAGGCAGATCAAATTTCAGAGTTTTATTTTCTTCCCAAGTAGGTACAGAAGACTTGTGTAATATCTTCTTTTTTAATCTGAAAAAGTTCTGAACTAATTGCTGTAGTTACCACTGCTAAAAGCACGAGCGCTCCAGTTTGCATTAGTCCTTTGTTCATCAGAGTCTTCTGGAACACAGGGTTCATCCCTGCCATGGCTTCATGCTCTTGCAGAATATCAGTTTGGTTTCTTTAGAGATAAATTGTTCCAACACTTGTATCCCACAGCCTCTCTTCTCTATGGCTAATAAACAAAATTCAAGTATCCAAATGCCCAGGGCACAAACCTCTTCAAAATGTTGTTCAGGGATCAGGTTCTCATTGTGCCAGTCTTTGTACAGACAAGGAGAGAACAGACAGGTTTTTTTCCAGAAGAACTCACAGACTTGATTTGCATATAATTTCTATGGATGAGAGGAGAAATTTTGAGGTGAGAGGGAAGACAAAGGAAAGCACAATTTGCTTCATGAATTTATATAAGCAGAAGAGTGTAAAGCAAGGCTTGACCTACAGAGAGATTTTTATATGTAAGGTTAATACTTTCCTGGTAAGGAATGTTGCCTTGTTTTGATAAACAAACTATGTTACCAAATTATTGCAAAAATATCATTTAATCATGAAATTGATGGGGTATGTTTCAGAAAATGTCCACCATTTTTTCCCTAGAAAAAAACTGACAACTGAGTAAAATGAAACAGCAGTAAAATGGATCTGCAAGTGCTCCTCCATCTATGCTCCCACAGCCCTGCTCCCCCACTCCTGCCCCAGGCATCCAGCAGTCAGCCACCAAAGACTGCTCATCTCAGGGAAAGCTTTCTTGTGCCAGGAGAATGGAGAAGGGGAGAAAAAGAGAACTGGCTGCATGTGTCCCCAAAAGCAAGATACTGATGGTATGGCATAATCTCAGGTTCACTCCCCAGATGGGCCACCTAGAAGATTCCAAAGCCCACATTGCAGGGACTAGGCCATCACACCAGGTTGGTCAGTTCATGAAGGTCAACTAGTGCAACTAGTCAACTCTCCCACCTCCAGGGGTCTTGTCTGAGATATTGCAGATCCCAGCTCACCCTTGTTTTGGTAAGCACCTGAAGTTTTACCCAACATAGATCAGCTAGAAAAGGGGCTGCTACAAGTCAGTTAGGAGGGAATTTGTTCCAAGTGCCAACACTTCTGAAACACCAGTGATGGGAACTGCCCATTGATCTGAAGTTTGGGTAATTAGCCTGTAAGCACCATATGTAAGGCAACGTGGAGTAACCAGGCTACAGGGTTGGTCCTCAGGCTCTGTGCTTTTAGCGGGCTCCCCAGGCACACAAATCTCCTGATTCAAGCAAGACATCAGTCTGGTCCTGTGGGAGGATTCACCCTCTGAAAGTCTCACTTTGCACTCAGGATGGAAGAGTGGGATGGGTTGGCATCTCAAAAGCTCTTGTAGGATGAGTCAATGATTTTCCACCCATAACTGATTGTTTTTAAGGAAAGCAGTTGTATTTTTAGTCAAACCAACTGCTTTGTGTATTACATGAGCAAACATTTTGTATTTGTTTGCAAAATTACATTTTGCGAACCATTCATCTGGCTTTAGACATGGATTTTATGCCTTTACAAGGACCAAAGTCAACCCACATACAAGAGAACCCCTGACATCAGTGTCAAGCAGTGTTCCTCAGGAGATCTAAACTTTGTTCCTCAGCCAGGCACAAATTTGGCAGGCACTGTTGGGAAACTGAACCCTGCCCTCTTTGGCCTCCGTGAGCACAGCTGATACAATGTGCCCTCCTAGTATCAAGACATCCATCACATAGCTTCACAGCTGCGTAGTCCCCACTAACTTATATTCACATGATGGCTGGATCTTATCTTGTTTGACTTTGTATCAGAAACAGATTTTAAAAAAATCTATTCCCAGTTTATCCATACAATACAGTGAGCTGGATTTCTAATGTTCATATTTATAGTACCAATATTTGCAGCTTGTAAAAAAGTCCCTTTCAACCTTGTTTACAACATAGGATTCAGTAATAAATGTGAATTAAAAGTAGAGAGAGTGAGATGTATTTTGTATTCTGGCAGGGAAATTTCCCTTCAGTTTAATAAAGTATACACCAATCTCCTTGAAATGTCCCTGCATCTGATACTGCAGCAGACTAAGTCTCTTTGCTGCTTAAGAAAGCCATTTCTTAGGTAATGTCAGCTCCCCAAGGGTATGCATATAAAAAAACTAATTGAAATAAGTCTGCCTCGCATGATCACCTCCAAATGATAGTCCTGTAAATGCATCAGCCATGAGCTTTTAACATGGAACTGCACCTTACCGTTTTTTATCCAAGATCTGATCTTGGATAAAAACTTACTTGGAATCCTTTCTTGGCTCACATAACAAAACATTGCTCCATCTTTCTTATGTTCAATGATCAGCATCAGTTTTGTGCCACAAACTACACTATATAAAATGTCTAACGTCAGGGATGTTACTGACAGGAAGGGAGATTAATGCGCTGTTTCAGTCACCCATGGAATATCAGAATTCAGATGCAGCACAGGAGAAGACAGAAGGGATGCAATATGTGTAGGAAAACAAAGTTATTCTCAGAATAGGAAAAGACATTGGAGTTCTGAAGTACAGAAAGGAACAGGGAGTCCAAAGATAGTGGAAAAGACAAGTCAGAACGAGAGTTTCTCTTGATTAAATAGTTACTGGAAACATCTCCATCTAGAAGTGAAGCTGAGGCAAGAAAGGGAATGTTTAGCTGCCCATATTTTATTTCCTCACAAATTTCAGGTTCATTGCTTACGCATACAATATTCCCCAGGGATCACACTCATCCTTGGACAAAAACCTAGTAATTTTCTTCCTTTTCTTCAGATTTGTCTGTAATATCCCAACATGTACCACAACTAATTTTTCTCCTACTCATTTAGTATTAAGACAAGCTTTCCAAAATACTGTAGCTCTCCTACTTCCCTATGTGTTGTTAGCAACATCCATACATTACAGCACCAATTCACACATTAGTATGGCCAACGTGGCTGAGCCACATACTCAACTACAGCAGGAGGAACTCACTGATTTAAGTCCAGAAGCGTATGCCAGTCACTCCACTATTCCTCAAAGCCCTTCTTTGCATTATATTCACAGCAGATGGAAAAGAAATAGATGCCATGCAAGTTTAGATACAAATGAAGGCATTTTCTTAATGCTGATGACCAAACCTAAATGAAATTATTTTTCAGTAACTTGATGAGAATGGCTTTTTGATTTTCCAAAAACCCAAGTGACTTTGAGGACATGACCTTCTGCATTCAAAAATAGTGCTTTAGAAAGACCTGACAAATTTTGTTCAACTTCTCAGAGCTTTTTCAGTGTATGTAGGAGCATCTTGGTCCAGTTGCTACTAGTGACTAAGAATGTCCTTTGAGGTGGGAAAGAAGGAATGACTCTCTCTTTCTGACGTTCAGGGACAGCATACAACAGTACCAGAAACAAAGTTTTGTCTGGTGACCTCAAGTACTGCAAGAAATGCAGATTATATTAATTCCAATGACACTTGGATAATCTTCAGGCTGTATTGGCAAGTTTCTCAATTTCTGTGTATTCCAAATACGCTGGCTATTTCATTTTCTTAATTGGATTCCCATGAAGGTAGGAGCTTGACTATTTTACAGCTCTTGAAATGTTTTGTTATTCAAGGGTAAGGATATATATCAGAAATAAATATTTTTACTATAGTTACAAAAATGCTTTCACCAAATAAGGTACAGTAAACCCAGGATAGCAGTGTCATGATCATGTCTGTCCATCTCAAAGTGACAGAAAAGAGCTAGATTATCCAAACAACAGATGGAAAGGACTGAAAAAAGGTCATCCCAGCTCTAAGTGACACAATAGCCATTTCAAAGTTTGGCCTGTACTGATCTGGATTCCTCACTGAGAAGCAAAAATTACTGCCTCCCTCATCCTGAGGGCATTGCTTGTACATTCAGCAAGAGCCACAAAGAACACACAGTGCTGGGGGCTGCTGGTATCTTGGCTCCCAGCACCCTATGAGACAGCCCATATGCATGAGGTCAAAGGCAGGGGTGATGCTCGACGATGGATTGCAGTGGATCCCGACAAGGGCTTGGTTGGCTCTTCCTGCAGCATGCTGATTCAGTCTGTGGCAGAAACCATGGGGGTCTGAGCCTCAGTTGTTTTATCAGACTGGATTCTGCCCCTCACACAAGTAAAAAGGAATTAATCTCTTGCCCAAAATATTTTCAAACAGTAACTACTTGTTTCTATCAAGTTGCTTTCTTCTATTCCCACTTGCAATAATGCTGCAGCCATTTGTAATTTCAGCATTTGTTTGAAATGGGACAGAAGAAAATTTAGTCTGTGTTGACATTGATTTTTCTGCTGAAACTTTACTAGCATCTGGCTTTTGATCATAACTGGTAAGGCTGTAATTCAGACTGACAGTAGAAGAAGGACACAATTTTTATCTGGTTGTTTTTAGTGTTATAAATGCACATCGGCAGACATAATGTCTAGTTTTCACCCTGTTTTCTGTGACCTGCATTTCTCTTTCCTTTTTATTTTTTATTCCAAATGAAATGTAGCCATTGACATA